TTCAAGAGTGGAAAGGAACCAACGACAGAGGTATTCATCTGATGCGTTCACCATTAGCATGATGTTTTGATAGCGACTGAAGTGCTCCTGAGGGTCAGAGCGGCCGTCGTAAGACTTGATGGCGTTCCCCCTGTACTTTTCCGGGATGGGGGCCGAGAGCACCCTGTTGGTGAAAGGGGTCATGGTCCTGACTTGGATGATGGGGTCACCTCGCCCTTCGGCCAACTCCCTCTCCAGGGCGTTGACCTTGTTCATGAGAGCGTTGAGGCCGGGGTCGTTGGAGGCGCCAGCCGTGGGGGTGTTGGCCGACTGCCTGGCCTCCATCTGAGCCAGCCTCCTTTCCAGCTGGGCAATGACCTCGTCCCGGGGGTCCCTGGCGGCCGCAGCGGCGCCCTGCTGGTTCCTCATGCGCTCTTCGTGGGCCGCATTGATCTGGTGACGCACGTCGTCCTCGTGCAGCTTCCCCTTGCCCTTGTCCGGGCGGGGCTGGTCCGTTGTCCGGGACACAGACCCCAAGCTTTCCCTTGGCGAGCCAGGCCGACGCTCACCAATCCTCCCTGCCATCCTCTCCGAGACCGGACGACGGCGCGTGTCACCTAGCCTATTGAAGGCAGAGGCTTTTCCACGCGTTGGGGTCTGCCCAGGCCGAAGAGGGGAAGCGGGGTGGGAGTGGGACGACGCCGTGTCCTGGGCCATGACCCCCTCATCGTTGCCTATATGGACGGCCAACGGTTGGGGCTGAGGAGGTGGAGTGACGTTCCCCCCGATCCCTGGCAAGAGAGCGCTGAGGACGGTGGGGTTCTGGGCCAAGCTGGCGATGATGACCGACAGCGCGGCCTGGACCTGTGGATCCACAGACGGAGAGGCCGCGGCCATAGGCTGGGCCGGGGCGTGGTCTATCTTCTCAGCTCGTTTCTTGTCCAAGCTGATGCGGGCATCAGGGGCTCCGCCGTTGAGTTGGTTGCGGAGGTCCGTCGTGAGGTTGATGGCCTCCTGGAAGACGTCCCCTCCGCCGACTTGGTCGGCCGTAGCATCCTCGTCATGTTCCCTGGTCTCCTGTTCCGCAGGGATGGCCTTGCTGACGAGGTTGCGGTTTGACCTAGTTCTTCCCATGATCAGTGGTTAGCCGTGCTTGGTAGCGACGAAGGGTGCTAACTTGATTGTTCTAGCTCTCAATGAAAGCACCAAATGATAGAGTATTAACTCCTAGATTCTAGAGAGAAGGGAGAGCTAGAGAGAGAAGTGAATTGTATTAATGAATTTTGTTCACCCTTACAACTACTCCCAAGGGGAGTATTTATAGAGAAAATACGGGCTGGGCTCCCAAGTCTTGGGCTTGGGAGGCCCATCTACAACTGGACCGCTATTGGGGCCGAATACAAAGCCACTGGTGGGCTATACAAATGAATAAGTGTAAAATCCGTTTCTGTGAGACTTCCGTGGCCGACGAGGGCATGGCCGATGAGGGCATGGCCGATGAGGGCATGGCCGATGAGGGCATGGCCGACGAGGTCACCCAGTTCTCCGGGCTTCTGGATCATATTCTGAGTAGACCTTTTCATGGCCGATGAGGGCATGGCCGATGAGGGCATGGCCGATGAGGGCATGGCCGACGAGGTCACCCAGTTCTCCGGGCTTCTGGATCATATTCTGAGTAGACCTTTTCCTGGCCGATGAGGGCATGGCCGACGAGGGGATGGCCGATGAGGGCATGGCCGACGAGGTCACCCGATTCTCCTGACTTCTGGATCATATTCTGGGTGGCCTTCTTTCTGGCCGATGAGGGCATGGCCGATGAGAGCATGGCCGACGAGGTCACCCGGTGATCGTGGTACCTTCTGTTCTTCTGAGTATGTGGGTCCTGGGGCCTAGACCCATATACTCCATCACGAGTACTAAAAGTGTCATTGACATAATAGTCGATGGATCAAAAATGACAAATACTCTTTTCTATAAAGATGCATTTTATAAAAGTTTATCACCAATTAGACGACAATATGATGCAGTCCTCAAAAGTATTTATACCAAAAACATACAAGAAATTTGCAGAGTGTACGCACCATGTACACAAGTTGTACATGGTATAAAAGCAAAAACATTCTCATTTCCCCCTCTCTCTTCTCTCTCAGTTCTCTCTCCCTTCTCTCTTCCCCCCTCTCCCTTCTCTCTTTCCTCTTTACCCAATCTCTTCTAAAATTCTCAAAAAAAAAAATAGGATGTTCATCTTATCTTCTTCATCCTCGACTTTCCTTCTTCATCCTTTTTTCTCTACCTTTTTATATCAATTTTTTTTCATTATTTGCACAAAATCAGCTTATTCATCTTATTTCATCTATTTTTATTATTTTTCTAATATTTTTCTGAAAATACATGTAAATTGATTACACATACAACTTCATTTGGATGTATATAGACAATTAATTTTTTTTTCACCCAGACAATTAAAATTGATCACACCGATAACTATTGTCTGTGAGCTGCAACTATTGTCTGTGTGATAAATATTGTATGTGCACACAGACAAATAATTGTATTTGTGATACGAAAATATTGTATGTGCACACAGGCACTGCACATATATAGATTGATTTGCAAGCTGGTGTCAGACAGCTGTCAGTGTACTTTTTACACAAAAGTAAAGTTTGTGAAATACGGACAAAAATTGTTTGTGTTCACAGGCAACTCCGTACCAATTGTCTGTGACCGACATTTTGTGTACAAGTTGTGTACAATTTGTGTACTCCTTGCATTTCTGAACATACAACTACTATCAATTTGATATGACAGTGAAAGCTTTGGCACCAACTACCAAACACGTCTAAAACCAGACAATCTCAACCGGTGTGGTGCTTTTTGTGATTCAGTTTGAGGTCTAAATAATGGGTTAGAGTTTTTGCCACTTTTGGTCCCCTGAGTATTGTGTCAGTGACACTTTTGGTACACGACTTTTAATTTTTCCATTTTTAGTCCTCGACTATTGTTCGTGAGACACTTTTAGTCCTCTACTTTCAAGTTTCCCACATTTAGTCCTTTGAGTATTATCAGATTGACACTTTTAGTCCTTCTATTATGATTTTGACACAATAAGTGGAGGACTAAAAATGTCTCTATAGCAATAGTTGAAGGACCAAAAGTGTCACTTCTACAAAAGTCGAAGGACAAAATACGGAAATTTTCAAAGACGGATACCAAAAGTGTCTCTCGCATAATAGTCGAGGTCTAAAAGTGGAAAAATTAAAAGTCGAGTACCAAAAGTATCACTAACACAATAGTAGAGGGACTAAAAGTGGCAAAAACTCTAATGGGTTACGATCTTGTGGAGCTTTTAAGGAGCAACTGCTCTAAGAACAGACTGCAGAATTTTAAGTTTCGCGTGTTTGTCAGATTTGGTTTTATGCCTAGAAGCTCAACAATTAAGGTCATTCACTTTCTTAGACAAATTGTGGAAAAATATAGAGACGCTAAAAAGGATCTGCATTTGGTGTTCATTGACTTAGAAAAGGCATATGATAGGATACCTCGAGAAGTTCTTTGGTGAGCCTTAACTAGAAAAGGCATATCACGTAAGTATATCAGTATCATCATGGATATGTATGATGCTTGTACTACAAGTGTCCGCACTAGTGTAGGGAGGACCGCAGAGTTCTCTATTACTATCGGAGTGCACCAAGGATCTGCTCTGAGTCCTTTCTTATTTGTTATAGTCATATATGGATGAACTTACGAAGTCAATTCAAGAAGATATACCGTGGTGCATGATGTTTGCCGACGATATTGTATTGATTGATGAGACACAATCCGGTGTTAAAGCAAAGTTGGAAATATGGCGACAAACATTGGAGACAAAGGGTTTCAGACTGAGCCGAAGCAAGACTAAGTATATGGAGTGCAAGTTCGGTTGAGGTAGAAGTAGTAGCAACAGTGGAATTACTCTTGATGGTAAGGAGATACCGGTGTGTGATATGTTCCGTTACTTGGGTTCCATAATTTAGAAGGATGGTGAATTAGATGGAGATGTATGCCATAGAATTAGAGCTGGGTGGATGAAATAGAAGAGTGTTACAGGATTTCTATGCGATCGAGGTATGCCGACTAGACTGAAAGGTAAATTTTATCGTGCAGCAATTAGGACGGCATTAATGTATGGCGTAGAGTGTTGGGCGGTGAAGCAATGCCAAATTCAAAAGATGAGTGTGGCAGAGATGCATATGTTGCGTTGGATGTGTGGACATACCAGAAAATACCGCTTGAGGAATGAGGTAATCAGACAAAAGGTGAGAGTAGCACCTATAGAAGATAAGATGCAGGAGTCTCGTTTGAGGTGGTTTGGGCATGTGCGTAGAAGACTGAGTGATGCACCTGTTAGACGACTTAAGGGGTGGAGAGAAGAGGCAGAGAAGAGACGGAGGGGAAGATCCAAACAGACCTGGATTAGAGGAATCAGAACTGATATGCATCTTCTTGGGTTGAATGAGAGTATGACTTTGGAGAGAGCAAAGTGGGGGGTGACATCCGTGTGGACGATTGATGTCTTTTCTACCTTTCCTCTCTTTTTTCTTTTTTCTTTTATCTTCCTTATCTTTTTATATTCTTATGTTATATTTATCTTCTAGCTTTTTTGTGCTCTTTTATTTTTTATCTTTTATTTTTCTTATATTCTTGTGTTATTGTTATCTTTTATTTATTTATTTTTATTTTATTCATTTTATCTTACTTTTTTTTCTTCCCTTTCTTGTCCATCTTCTCTTTTTGGCATCGATATCATAGATCGATTCATGTTAGCCGACCCCAAATTCTTTTGGGATTAAGGCTTGGATATTGTTGTTGTTTGTTGTGTGTCAGATTTATGACATGACTAAGCCGATTATTAGTAAAAAAAGTTCTTGCCATTGCTAGTTCAGTGATCAAGATCTACAACCTGAAAATTTTACTAGTAGTCTACTACCATGTAGTGTACCTCTAACCTTATAGATAGTATATGTGAAAATGAGGTAACCATGGAAGTGCAACCATGTAGGGTACTTTTTTTATTGTCTTTGTAAATAAAAACGATAATGCACATACATATCTTCACTTAGCTGCCCATCTACCAGATCACTACAATAAAAACGTATTGCGACAGGAGAGAAAATGGAGAATAAAAGAAGGTATGCAAGGATGCATGTACAGAAGAGTACATATATCATGCATCGACTACCTTTCTACCTTCACATACATCACAAGTTACAAATCCAAAACCTTCACAATATGGACACTTTGCTCCTTCGCCCACCCATTCCATAAACTGAGTGAAAAATGATAATATTAAGAATAATATAGAAGTCTTAACTACTACATACTGCTTAGTAGAAGTTCTGAAAACTTTGCATAAAGTGATTTGAATCAATCTGGTACCTGAGGCTCAATATTTGGCTCACCAGTTCCGTAACAGTCTGCACAATGAGAATTTATTCAGTTGAAAAAAGAACAGTGTTTGTTATACGTAGTATATGCTAAAATTGTAAAAATCCATGTCTTGATTACTTGGCATGCCAACTGCCAAGCAGTGCGGAATTGTTTACCCTAATGAAGAACAATTATGTCAAACAACAGCTAATGACATCATTCCTCTCAAGCACACCAAGTGTAAGGTCGCTTTTGCTGCGTCTCTTCACATGATTGAAGTGCTAACGGCCCTTATCAAAGAATGCATAAATATTCACTACTTCAAAGATTGGCAAGACATAATGGAAAATATATTTTACAACAGTGCAATGCAAGTGACAACAGCTGCTGCGTATTTGAAATACTTCAACAACAAATTAACCCCCTTCCCCCGCTCTTACCCTTTCAGACACACACATTTATGATTTACTCATTCATATAAATTTAAAATAAACAAGACATGAAATGGATATTGCTTATAAAAAGATAATGTAATAAGAAAAACAAGAACCAAAATGTACCCATGCATATTAATTGGCCATCGCCGTGGCAAGTGAGACACTTTCTTGTTGTCATGTCACTTGAACTCTTGGTTGAAGCTGATTGTGTGTTTCCCTTAAGCCGGCTGGATGGTTCTTCCCACCGGTTCTCTCCGAGTAGGAACACTCTACGGTGGGTCACATCGGTTTCCATGTCCCCTTTGACGACTTTTTGCTCAAATTCTGATATTCCCATAATAGAAGCAATTGGTGCTCCATTTGCACACACCTGAACAATGAAATGGTGACAATAAATAACCATATCCAAAACTCAGGATCACGCTTTTGATTCATCTTAGGATGGATTTGTGTTGCAACGTGTCTAACACAACTCTTGGGGTAACATTTTTTTTATAAAAGATGGTTTATTAAGTTTGTTTACCTTCAAACTGTGCTATGTGGGTAGACTTGCATTCAAGGAGTGAACTTCTTTCAGCACTATAGAGTAACCTAGGGGGCATGTGAGTAGTAAAAATCTTACGGTCTATTTACAGCCAAACATGGAATTTGCAGTCTAGTACTTGGTGAGTTTGTTCGAGCTACATAGTATTGTATTAGTTGTTCTTAAGATTCTTGAGTTTGAGAAAATAAAAAAGTTAGATTACTAGGAATGCTACTTGAGATTCATTATTTTTTGACTTGAGATTATGATGGAATAAAGCAAAATGGCTCAATAAACTGTCTGCGCTTCTTTGTTATGAAGCAGCGGTCAGTCCATGCAATTTTGGACGGGATTTTCACTATGGGTCATCCGGAAACAGTCTCTCTGTGCTTTAGTACAAGCCTACAGGGGTAAGACTGCGTACATCCGACCCCCCCTTACCCTACCGTAGGTGGGAGCCATTGCGGCACTGGGGTAAATGAAAATGAAATGAAAATGAACTAGGAATGCTACATTTGTATTCTCTGACCTTTGAAGATTCTAGAACATGTTGTTCTGGATTGCTTTTCAATCTCAAGTTAGAGTTCACAAATTTTTGTTGCACGAATAACCTCTCAAGAAGTTCTGAAGTCATAATGCCATCTTCTCGGGCTCCAAATGAAGCCTGAAGCATCAGAAAAGTGAAAACATCAAAATCAACATTGTAGTTACCTTCTATGCTAATAGGAATTCATAAGAATTCTTAATTTCACCATTTGACTAAATTTTATTCCATAAATAAGAAGAAGCAAAGATCTCACCTGCCATGTTTTTACAGCATGCTCTGTTCCAGTAGAAAAAGTAGAGTACTCCATTTCCTCCTCACCGCAATAAAATCCCAGCCTTAGCAGTGCCTCCTACTTCAAAATATTATGACAAAATCAGAAGAGTGATTAGGAGTTTACAATTAACACAAAGATAAAGAAGCTAGAAGCACACTTCTATACAAATAAAAAGTTATGCACGAAAACACCAATAACATTACTCAATTAACTCCCGTGAATACAAACTAATATTGCACCCATATGTGATCATGTGATTATTGTTTTGTCGCAATCAACAAAATGGATTCTCATAAATAATGACATACAAACCATTGTCTTTGGTGAGCAGAAAATACAACACATTAGTTTTCTGATTTTCTCATGTTTTACCTCTCTTCTCATTAATTTGCACCTTATTCTCTCATTACATGATTGTATAAGCACAGCATAGTATGACATTAGCATCCCAATTTGTTAGTTCAACTGGCTTGAACCCAGGAATAAAATCTCTTTCGACATCACCATGAGAGTTCGACTCATGGGAGGAGAACTGGAGGTTTAATGGCTAATAACTTCAGGACCCGGCATGATAATTGGTTGCCGCGTGACAAAGCCCTAAAGTTCACCGGCATGTGAAGTCATAGCAGATGTCGGAAAGTTTGTGATCTTTTCTTACCAGGGGAAAAAAGATGGAATGAGATTATACATTAGGGAGAAATTTTGGCCGGGTGATGCTAATTTAAAACTGAAACTACCGGCAAATGTGTCTACGGATTTCCTAGTGTGGCACTATGATAAACATGGCATGTTTATGGTAAGAAGTGCGTATTTACTTGCAATCTCAGCCCGTTTGCAGACCCAAAATACTGGGGCAAGCAGTAATGCAGGCAATGGATCCCGAGGCATCTGGAAGGTAGTGTGGGAAGCAAAAGTCCCACAGAAAGTGCGTGTTTTTGGGTGGCGCTTGGCTCGTGAAGCTTTATCGACACAGGTAAATCGGAATCTAAGAAATATAACACCATTTGCTACATGCTCCATTTGTGGTCAGGAAAATGAAGACGGAAATCGGGCCCAAAGTGGTTTCTGAATCTGTTGAATGGGGTGGACATTTTAACGCGTGCACGCATTCTGCTTATCTTCTGGCCGGCGTGGCATTTACGGAATGATGTGGTACACAGAAAGGGAGATGCTACAGTTTCTGCCAGTGTTGGATTCCTAAGGAGTTATTGGGAGTCCTTGGTTCAAATACGACAAGATTCTCAAAATGGGAAGGGGAAGCTTAAGGTTCTTTCAGCTCGTTTGGATCCTGCTGCTGTGACTGATACACCTCGATGCGGCCTTCCTCCTCAGGGCTGGGTGAAACTGCACTCAGATGCTAGCTTTGATCCGATGACAGGGAAAACAACAGTGGGTTATATTATTAGGAATTGTAAGGTTAGGTGCTTCTCACTGGTTGGTGCAAACTACCCCAATGTGCTGAAGCTCTGGAAGCCGAGATTCTAGCATGTGCAGAAGCTGTCCGACAAGGCCGAACACGGGTTAACATGCCAGCCATCATTGAATCAGACTGTGCGGCATCATTACAAAGTTGTGCATTTCAGGTAAGGATAGATCCCGTTTTGAATTAATACTCGAGGAGTTGAAGGTGGTGACCTCATGTTTCTGTGATGTGCGCTTTAGTTTGGATAAGGAAATGTAATCGTGTAGCACACCAACTAGTTCAACGTGCAAAGCTAGGGGTGGAGGCTGCTGTCCTATGCTTGGAATCCCCTCCTGAAATTGTTGACCTGCAATGCTTTCATTGTAATTCTGCACTATTTTATCATTAATACATTCCCTTTTCCTTGCAAAAAAAAAAACTTCAGGATCTGCGGGATTATTCAGGCCAACGGTAGTCACCCGTGTAACCACATTATAAAAAAGAAATAGCATAACATTAACATATAGAAGGAACTTAATGCACCAATATAGAAAGCTACAACTAGATTACTTGTAGGAGATAAAGTCATGAAACAATTAACAATGATATTAAAATATTAACTGAAGATACGAAACTGATTGGATAGTAGACCTGCATGAGACAAACATCATCTCCTTCAGATCCCTTCCTCAAAATTTCCCTCTTCACTTCTCTGGCCTCTTCCTCCACATCTTTAACAATTTCCTTTACAACAACTTCCTCTTTTTCCTTTGATGTCTCCATGACCAACGACATTGCTCCTGTGGTATTTAAATTGGTCGCCGACCCCTCGTCATTCACTTCCTACACAAAAATAGATGCGTCACAAAAAAAACTCCCAGTTGGTAGGGCTAATAAGATATGAGAACTTTCAAGAAAAAATCACAGCAAGTATTACATAATCAGAAGAGCAGTAATAGATTCAGACTCGCATAACTTAAATACAGAGGTAATGGCCAGAGTAATAGATCTTCATATGGTCAAAGAGTTCAAAATGGAACTTATATGGATGATAATTTAATTTACTAAGCAAAACAATTAGCATAAACAGTGGAGCACAAAGGCTAATCCCTAACTTCCAACAACTGCACTTCATGAGGTGACACGCTGGAGACGGAAGCTTCCTGCAATGAACTCCAACTTTTGAGCTCCTGAATTTGATGCTGCAGGACCTGAACTTCTCTCAAGAGAGCTTCTCGTTCTGCTTTCCACCGGATCTCTTCTCGAAGCCACCGCTGCTCCTCCCTGAGCCACCGCTGCTCCTCCCGGAGCCACCGTGCCTCCTCTCTCTGCTCGAATCCACCAGTGTCTTCTATTTTAGAGGAAGATAACGCGAAGCAAATGTGAGATTTTGAAAGAGTTTGAAGGGAAGGTATGAAAGGAAAAGAAACTAATGTCGTTGAGTATGAAGAAGATTGGGGGCTCTGGTTTACTGGAGTATTGCAACTGAAGTTCACTGGTATTGAAATCGCCATGGATTCGAATATACTTGAGAGAGAGAACCCGGAATAGATGGAGTTTCAAGATTTCTTTTTCTTTGCGCAGAATTTCTGTTGATGGCGGTTGGAACTTGGAAGTTCAGGATAATGTAGCATTTAGGCATTTCGGGTGTCTCTTCGGCACATATGTGCTTACATAGAATAGTTGAGTTTTTTTGTTCAATTGATCAAAAAAAAGGTGGAATCTCCCACCCCAAGAGCCCCACCCCGATCCGACAGGATGGTGGGGAGGTTAGTCACCGTGACTCAGTCAGCAGAATGACAAGTAGGTTCATACATCCGTGCGCACCAGAGGCCCAACCTTATTTCAGGTTCTGTGACCTCCACCCGGTCGCTGCGAAGATTCGAACCTTGGTGCATTGATCCAAATCTCCCACCACTCGACCAACTGAGCTACCCGTGCGGGTAAGTTTTATGGCATACAAATCAAGTGCCAAAGGTATATGGCAATTTTGTAATTTTGGTGAAAAACACGTATTTTCTTGAATGAGCATTAATGCAATTTTGTTGAACATCAAGTCCGTTCTTTTGTGTATTGGGAGCCTAAGAATGAGCATCAGTGTTCTCTGTTTCATATCTTCTAATTCAAATGAAGTGCCAAAGGTATATGGCAATTTTGTAATTTTGGTGAAAACACGTATTTTCTTGAATGAGCATTAATGCAATTTTGTTGAACATCAAGTCCGTTCTTTTGTGTATTGGGAGCCTAAGAATGAGCATCAGTGTTCTCTGTTTCATATCTTCTAATTCACTTTCTTTTCATTATTTTTTCGTTTACAAAAAGTTCTTAAATTATATCTGTAATCAATTCCAATTAATTTCAATATGTGAATTTAATGTAGTATGATACGTTTCAATTGTGCAACATTTTAAAATGAGCACAAAGATGTACCAAATTAGTATACATTGCTTACAAAATGAGAATTAAAAAATTCAAAAGCTCATTTGTGTATACTCATTCATTTTGGGCTTTATACTCATTTAAGTATAACATATCATAAAACTCGTTTCTAATATGCTCAATATTCATTGGTGTATGTTCATTCTTTTTTTAAGCATATGCTCATTTGAGTTTAAAATTAAAAAATTTATTGTATTCTCTAATTATTTTAGAAATAAATAATATATCTTCAAAGGGGCGAGTAATACACAAGTTAAACTAGTAAATTCCAGGACTTCAATTCTATGTATACTAAATACAATTAAGTGAGAAAATGTAACAAGTGAGCATTGTAGCAATGTAGCCCACTGGTTTTTCTCCTAATACAAATAGGGATGGACCAAATCGGGCCAGGCTGGCCCGGAACCGACCCGGCCCGCTACCGTGCGGGCCCGGCCCGGGTAAGTTATGGGCAGTTCGGCCTTTGAACCAGCCCGAGGGGGTAGGGTGGTTCGGGCACGGTTCAGGAAAAAGGGGCCCGACCCTGCCATCTCGGGCCCGGTCCGGACCTAACGGCTAATTTAAAAAAAAAAACTTTGGAAGCCAAACATACCTTATAGTCGTTGCATTCAAACCCAAACGGCTCTATAGCCGTTGGGAGCCTGCCAGGGGGTCCCATGGTGGGTTGGGGGCGGGGTGGGGTGGGGGTGGGGTACGAAAAATCTATAAATACTCCATTTTTTATACAATTTACTACGCATCTTCTCCAAATATTCGTACTCTCTAATCTCTATTCTCTACTAATCTTCTCCATCTTCATCTTCTCAAATTTATAACTACATATATTATATTTATAAAATTTATTATCTACTTATTATCTACGTATATTAATATCTAATTATTATATTATTGTTATTTACTTATATTTAGATATTACATATACTTAATATATACTTATATATATTAAAGTATTATATATAAGTGTATTACTCATCTTATAGTAATATACTTATATTATATATACTATAAACATAATATTATATATTACTAGTTAATCTACTTATTATCTACTTATAAATATATATATTAAGTATATCTACTTATACACTTACTAGTATTGTACCCATGCGATGCACGGGACAAAAGTGTATTCGTGTTTTTGTTCATAATAATTATTCAACTAAGAATTAAACGTATGTATGATATGTATAAAATAAAACAAATATAAGTTGTTTCACACTTTCACTGAATGCATTTGTAAAACAAACACTTTGAAGACATCAAACATTCTCAAAATAAAAAAAAAAGACATGAAACAACATTCTAAAAACTTATGATAAAAAAACATTCTAAAAAATTTCTGGATATACAACATTTAATGTGGATAAATCCGAGGTACCATCGTCATTGCATATCAATATCTTTAACACTTCACGCTTGGTAACTTGGTTTGCGTATGAAAGTTGCATAAATGGCCTAAAGTTAAACAAAAAAGAAGGAAAGTCACCATCGTGGCCTTGTGGTTGAACATGATCTTATACGCAGTGTTGTTGTCTTGTACTTCAAGTCATTAGGAGCCACAATGAAGTTCCTTAAACTATGCAATTGTCCTTGTACCTGAGAGTCATGGAACACGCATTCCAAAGTATTCGTGATACTCTTGTTACTGAAAGATGGAGTAAACTATGCTCGAATAAGCCTCACTCTTAGTGCCCAGTTTGTCCAGGACTTGTTAATCTCATGTGCTTTGTTGTAAAGCATCTTGCTAACAGTAACCAAAAGAGTTTGTTTATATCGATCTGCAGTAGGCTGCAGTCAAGCGTAATTAAATTCTATGCCGAAGCACGTATTTAAAGGATTAAGAGATCGAGACAGTTATTTGAAACTGGGACTGGACGTGTGCAGTGGGTTACCGAACGTGGTGGAAACTGCCCAAGGACATTCTTGCGGTGCCATCTGTATATTATGTGTGTATGTGTGTGACAGAAGGTTTTATCTGAACATTGAATTGTATTTATAAATTAAATTGTGTCACGTCGAACATCATTAACAGGGTCTAAATAGTAAATAGTAAGACCTTGTAATTCTTACCCCTTTATTTTAGATGGTGGGCCGATGTGAATATCAAATCTGAACATTAAATATATAGTTACCATGACCGTTTTTAGGGGTTCAATAGGTTATTCAGAACAGGCGCCAGATTTATGGAGCCCCAAAATTTTAAAAATTTATTAGTATTATATAATAATAATAATAATAATAATAATAATAGTAATAATAGTAATAATAGTAATAATAGTAATAATAGTAATAATAGTAATAATAGTAATAATAGTAATAATAATAATAATAATAATAATAATAATAGTAATAATAGTAATAATAGTAATAATAGTAATAATAGTAATAATAGTAATAATAATAATAATAATAATAATAATAATAATAAAAATAATAATAACAATAATAATAACAATAATAATAACAATAATAATAACAATAATAATAACAATAATAATAACAATAATAATAATAATAATAATTATTATTATTATTATTATTATTATTATTATAATTATAATAATAATAATAATAATAATAATAATAATAATAATAATGTACTACGTATATTAATTAATATGTAAAATACAGTTAGTAAGAAGAAAAATATAGATCCATCATTTTTTCATTGGTCATTTTAGTTTTCTTTTACTCAAATTGTTTGAATAATGTGTTGAGCTGCTTTAAATCAAGTATTAAGTAAGTTTTAGAATTTTTTATTACATTATTTAATGAGTATTCAATTGATTTAAGTATAAGTATTTGGATTGAGATGTTTTTTTATTTTTCATATTAATGTGGAGCCTCGATTTTACATTTGAAGTCGGGGCTTCCGAATTCATTAGACGGCCCTGATAGTTACATATTATTATAATTATATTATATTAATAACACTTTATAATAATACTTTTAGAGCCCGTTTGGTAACATTAAAATTGACTGTATTGGCTGATTCTGCTGAAATTTATGAAATTCTGGCTGAAGTGGTTGTATTGGCTGATTCCGCTGATTCATGAAAAAATTATATTCAAAATATTTGTTATCAATAAATTAAATAAAAAATTATATTAAAAAATAGTTAAAATGATCCTCTACAGTAACTTCAACCAAAACAGCCAGAAAAATAACTTCAACCTTACTTTTTCTGCTTATTCCAAACTTCAACGCGCGAAATCAAAAATTACGTGTTTGGTGAAAAAACTGGCTGATAAGCCTGATAAGCCTAAAAATGGGTCACCAAACGGGCTCTTAGACGATAATAGGCACCGTAAAAAAAGACAATAATACACTTCATAATTGTGTCACGTGTTAACCATTAACATACAAGTGTTATAAGCAAATACGGAGTATTACTTTTAGAATGCTTGCAACGTAATCTCTCATTTGCGACACATGTCCACTTATTTTGCATGAGACCAACATATAACGTTTGCCACAATGGAATCAGGCGGGAACAGGTTATCCCAGCCGATTCCATTGTTAAATATATAAAGATTATCTACTTATCCAATTGCTTCTACACACTCACACTCCCATTAATTTAGTTTACACACTCATACATTCTTTATTAATATAAAACTAGTTAATTGTTTCACTTGTCATTTTAGTATTAGTTCATTGCTATAAAAGTAGTTAATTGTTAGTTGTTAGTTTATTGGAAATAGTTACATTAAAAATTGTTAGACAATATTTGTTTGTTTAATTGTTAAACTAGTTAATTCGAAATTAATTGTTTAATTGTTAAACTAGTTAATTGTTACATTTATTAATCTGCTATCATAGTAGGTAATTGTTACATTTATTATTCTCATATAAAACTAGTTAATTGTTATATTTCTTATTCTTCTATAAAACTGGTGAATTGTTACATTTATTATTCTCTTATAAAACTAGTTAATTGTTACATTTATTAATCTCATATCATAGTAGTTAATTGTTACATTTATTAGGATGTTTTTACTTGGACTGTAATTTGCTGGTCTGGTCTGGTCTGGTTTGGTCTGGTCTGGTCTGGTCTGGTTTCTTTGTATTTTTATACCTATCCAAGTCTGGTCTGGTCTGGTCTGGGAGGAATTACAGTACAAGTAAAAACATCATTATTCTCCTATAAAACTAGTTAATTGTTACATTTATTATTCTCCTATAAAACTAGTTAATTGTTAAACTTGTTAAATAAAGTTGT